TTTTTTGATGGATTCTTATGGGAAAGTCTTCTGTTTCCGATCCAACTCACAACTCGACATGTCTGTCAACCACCAATGCCTCTTTGGAAAAGACGATTCACAATTTTTGGGAATTGGAATCAGTTCCGAACATAGTCACGTTATCACGTGAAGATGAAATATGCGAAAGACATTTCGTTACAAATTATAAAAGAACTGAAACAGGAAGATTTATGGTTTCTTTGCCTTTTAAAAAAAATACTCCACTGTTGGGAAGCTCTTACCAAAATGCATTGAAGCGTTTTATTTCTCTTGAAAAGAGATTGTTGCACAATTCAACGTTACGTCTCGAGTATGACAAGTTTATGAAACGTTATCTTCAGCTAAATCATATGTCCCTTATCTCTTCTTCGGATCCTTTACCTTCTGCCACTTATTATATCCCGCATCATTGTATTCTCCGTCCCACCACCTCCTCCAACCAAACTGCGAGTGGTTTTTGATGCTTCGGCGACCACATCCAACGGTCAATCACTTAATGACACATTGTTGATAGGACCCAAGCTACAGCAAGATATTGTTAAGATCTTATTGTCTTTTCGCTGTTTTAATTTTGCGTTCATCTGCGACATAAAACATATGTATCGACAGATTTTGATATCACCTGTTGACCGTGAAACCAACGTATCCTTTGGCGTTTTACCCGAGTGAACCAATTCAAGAATACGCATTAAATACAGTCACGTATGGAATAGCGTCGTCTCCTTTTCTGGCATTACGTACCCTTCTAGAACTCGCCAATCTTCACGCCGATGAATATCCAAGAGTTGCAGCCGTGTTGAAAAATCACATCTATGTTGATGATATTGTAGCGAGAGCACAGTCGATCGACGAAGTTTTACAACTGCAAGATGAATTAATTAAATGGGCAAGTAATTGTACCAACCTATTACAAGCAGTATCAGACACATTTACAGAAGCCAATATCGATGGAGGCCAGTGAACTCAACTACGTCAAAGTTTTGGGTCTACTCTTCCCGTCCAAATCACTCTTCTAAATATTTAATCCTTTCGGAGATTGCCCGTATTTATGATCCATTAGGTTTCCTAACTCCTTGCACATTCAAAGCAAAGGTGTTTATGGCAGCTGAAAATTTCCTTTGATGAACCTCCTCCATTTCATATAACTGAAAATTGGGTAACTTTTAAAAGTAATCTTCCATTATTATCAGAATGGAACTTACCTCGCTTAATGATCCCTCTTCAAGCCCAGTCTATTCAACTTCACTTGTTCTGTGATGCATACCAACAAGGGTATTGCGCAGCGCAGTAGCGTATTTACGCTGTCAAACTCCTAACACTATCCAAACGTCTTTTGTATATGCCAAATCTCGTGTCGCACCTTTAAAAACAATTTCCATTCCTCGTCTCGAGTTGTGTGGTGCAGTTCTTCTTGTCGATCTGTTGTAGAATCTTAAAGAAATCTTGTCTCCCCTCACAAATCTTGAATCCATCACTACATGGTCTGATTCACAAATGACTTTGGCATGGGTTGCATCCTCACCAAGCCGATGGAAAGTTTTCATTGCAAATCGTGTGTCCCATATACAAAACATTCTTTCTTCAAAGTCTTGGCCATTCCCTCTTCTGACAATCTCGCGGACTGTGGTTCAAGAGGACTATTCCCTAAACAATTAATTTCTGCCGAACTATGGTGGAAGGGGGACCCTTCCACCATAGTGGATGGCTTCGGACTTGGCTCGAAAAATCACCAGACTATTGGCCCTCACTCGACAAAATTCCAGAAACAACAGAAATCACGTGTGAACAACAATCAAACTTCGTTCAAACTATTGAAATTAATAGACATGTAATAGACATTCTTTTAACTAAATTTTCATCTCTGACCAAAATACAGCGTATTTTGGCATATGTTCAAAGATTTACTACTCAAAGTAAAATCTTTATTTGAAATCCAACGGGCATTAACAACTATTCTCCGTCATGTACAAAACCAACATTTTTCTTCGTTTGCCTCCATAAAAAAAAATCAGCTACCCCCTAAACCTTTTCGAAAGTCAGCTCCATTCCTTGATAGAGAGGGTTTAATTAGGGTTGAGGGACGTTTAAAACACGCAGTGATCCCATTCGATCATAAACATCCAGTGTTATTACCGAAAAATAGTCGTGTAAGTGAACTTCTGGTGGAAGAAATACACCGAAAACATCTTCATCCCGGTCAACGTACATTACAATCTCTTGTGATGCATCAATAATGGATCCTCGGATCAAGAAGTCTGATTTACCAAGTAATCTCCAGATGTATTCGGTGTTTTCGATGTAAGCCTAAGTCATATGCTCCTTGGATGGCCGATCTTCCTAGTTTTCGGGTGGCAGCAGTAAAGGTGTTTTCCACGGTGACTGTGGATTTTGCTGGACCCATTTACGCTACGATAAGTCGGTGCCGAGGAGCCCGTTCGGCGAAATCTTATATTTCTGTGTATGTTTGTGCTTCCACCAAGGCTACTCATTTGGAATTGGTTTCAGATCTTTCCACAGATGCCTTCATTGCTGCGTTGCGGCGATTCATCTCCCGGAGAGGTCGATGTTCATTAATCCTTTCAGACCAAGGAACCAATTTTGTGGGAGCCTACAATAAATTACAACAAATGGCTCAAGATGCCAGCGAAAAATTAGAGCTACGATGGCAATTTCACCCTCCTGGAGCGCCACATTTTAATGGACTCGCTGAAGCAAGTTTTGTGGTGATAACACAAATACTAATTTCGGAGGGGTGAACCGCAGAGGAGTGAACAACATTTTCCACAAACTGGAAGATGTTTTGAAAAAAGAGCTAGAAGGAATTGGGTGTCCTGCACACATATTGCACAATACAGTTTCTTGTGCAGCTGATGTCCTTGCTGTTGATGTTGAAACAATAGTTGTCAAACTGTTCAACTATTTCTCAATCTATACCATAAGAACAGAAGAACTTAAAAGTTTCTGTGAGTTTGTTGGCATAACTTACAAACAGTTACTGTACCACTCAAGGACAAGATGGGTATCACTCATGCCTGCTGTTGAGCGTATATTAAACCTATGGGAAGCTTTAAAATCATATTTTCTAAGCCAGGAAAAGTCTCCAAAATTGCTTGTAGATTTTTTCTCAAACTCACTGAGTGAGGCCTATCTCTGGTTCCTTCACAACCAGCTATCATTTTTCCACCGAAAAATAAAGAGAATTGAGTCTTCAAAAATTTCTGTGATTGAAGTCAAATTGATATTGGACGAGACTTTGAAGAGTGTGAAGGAACGAGAAGAATCCCCGTTCATTGGCCTGAAAACTAAACAAATCGCAGACAAAGAAGATAAAACTGTCAGAGATAAGTTCGTAGAAGAATGAAATTTGAGAAAATGGAGTGAGTCCCTCCAGCACTTGGCCACATTTGAATGGACCACATTGGACACAGTTCCTGAATGGAAACAAATCGAAAACACCCTTGCTTACTTTACCGGCAAGAAAATATCCTTCCCAGAAAGTGAAGTTTTCGACCAATTTTCTTGTCTTAAAAACAATATCACACTGTTAAAAGACAAGCAAGACAAAGAAGAAAGTAACTGGAAGGATTTAAGCTCGAAGTGAAAAGTGGGTCAAGTATTTCAATACTAGGACAAAAGCCAATACTCCCACTTTTTGAAAATGTGTGAATATGTTTTTTCAATACCAGCTCACAATGCGAACGTGGAAAGAGTGTTTTCTATGATGTCAAACCAGTGGACTGACGAACGCAACCGGCTCTCAGTTGAAATTGAAATTGTTCAAAATATTTTGATCTGCCAATATAATTTTAATAAAACTTGTATCGAGTTTCATAGCTACGTTCAAGGCCAACAAGACCTTCTCAAAGCTGCCAAATCCTCCGAGAAATATGAGTGGTTTTAACTTTTTTCAAACAGTCCACTTTAATTTCAGATAGCTACAAATACGCTTACATACTTTTAGTTTTAGGATATGTTAAAGAGTTATTCTGGAGTCTCCAGAATAATCTCAGACTGGAGTGTTTTTTTAGTTCTATTGATTGTAATAAAAAGTAGTAAGTAATAAAAAACTTGATTTCGTTGTTAATTTAAATTTTCGTTCCTTTTACCAAGTAAACATTGTTTATAAAATAGTTGTTAAAAAAATAATGTTCATAGTTTGGTCAAAACTATGCTTAAACCCGTATTTTATAATTTAAAAATGAAAAATCATTCTTTGGGCGTAAACTGGACTACGTTAGTCGTTCCCCACCTTTTTCTCATACACCTATTGTAGGTGTCCTGGTTTACTACACTGGAAATATGGCAACCCTACTTCTGTTCGAGATCGTGAACAATCGACCACGAGTTAGTGTAATTCCGATAAAATCGTAAGTTTTTTTTGTATAAAAAGGGGGAACAATATAATAATACAATTAATTTCACACCGATCTATTATTAACCTTTAGCACAGAATATCACAATCAGAAGAAAAACTCGCCTTCGTAGCCTTAGTCGCGCATTCGCCGCTGCGCATCGTGGTCCGCCATATTGCTGGTATAGCTTATTCGTTTGTGTTTAGTGCGTGTTTAAGTTATTTTCTTGTGTTTTGAGTTTTTGAAAGAAGTTAGTGGTTATTTTTTATTTTTGGACATTTAACCTTCCGGAAGTCTGGTGGGGTCTTACAGGCCCAGAGGTATGTTAAATGTGTTGCATCGTGAAAACCAATCGCATGGCACAAGCTGGCATCCATGCTAGCTGCATCTAATGAGTCATTCTACCTGCAGTCCAGTGTAGTTTATGCCTCCCTGTACTAGAAGTGCTTCAAATCATAACCTAATTGATCATCGGGCTTCTCAGACCCCATCAGACTTAATACGTTAGAAGTGAGTTGACGGTATGTTATTTTTTTTAGTTGTTATAAAACAAATTTTACGACAAAATAGTGTGATTTAATTAAACTTATTTACATATTTTATTATCAGAATTGCATCGTTATCAAAATGGGAGATTTTGAACGGGAGCAAGCTAGACTTCTTGCCTTGTGGGAAGATGTGCAGTCTGAAATTGGTGATTACGATGAAATTTCAAGTGATGAAGGTGAAATAGACAACTTGAATGAAAGTGATCATAACAGCGATACTGAACAAGACATCAGCGACGATGAAAAAGACATAGATGATAATGATAATAACCAGATCAGGGCAGGTTTATTTTATTTGGGGAAGGACGGTGCAACAAAATGGTTCAAACATCCACCTTGGCCAAATGTCAGAACAAGATCAGAAAATATTGTCACGCAATTACCCGTCGTTAGAAGAGGATATAGAGATGGTAAAACGGCGTTAGAATGCTGGAAATATTTCTTCACTGATGAAATGTTAGAAGTAATTTTGAATAACACAAACGAAAGAATTTTGATGAGGTCGTCTACTTATGGACAAAAAGATCAATATAAAGTAAAACAAACAGACAAGACGGAATTGCTAGCTTTATTTGGTCTTCTCTATTTAGGAGGCTACTACAAATCTGGACGTCAAAATGTAAAGGATTTATGGGCAACTGACGATACAGGAGTTCTGATATTCAGAAAAACTATGACCCTACAACGTTTCAATTTTCTTTTATGTTGCTTGCGCTTTGACAGTTTGGAAACTCGTATTGAGAGAGTGGCACTCGATAAACTTGCACCGATTAGGACAATTTTTGATGCATTTGTTCTGAATTGCAAACAGATTTATTCACCTAGCATGTACCTTACCGTCGATGAACAATTGATAGCTTTTTGGGGAAACTGTCCATTCCGTCAGTTTATCCCCAGCAAACCCTCAAAATACGGCATAAAAATGTTTGCTCTAACTGATGCAAGGTGTTTCTATACTGTAAATTTAGAGGTTTATGTGGGTTTGCAACCTGAAGGACCTTTTAGAAAAAGCAATAAACCAGAAGATATTGTGCTTCGATTGATAGAACCAGTAACAAGAACTGGGAGAAATATTACATTTGATAACTGGTTTACCAGTTACAGCCTGATTCAACGATTACTAACAGAACATCGTTTAACAGCTGTTGGCACTGTTAGAAAAAATAAAAAAGAATTGCCAAAACCTTTGGTATCCACACAAGGAAGACCATTGCCATCAAGTATGTTTGGATTTCAAAAACAAATCACTATGGTATCGTACATGGGAAAAAAGAATAAGAACGTTTTAATGTGGTCTTCGCTCCATCATGACGATAAAATTGATGAATCAACTCGACATCAAGAGAAGCCTGATATTGTAACATTTTACAACTTGACTAAAGGAGGTGTTGACACACTGGATAAGCTTTCAGCTTCCTATGACGTTTCAAGAAATTCACGGCGATTGCCACTAACAATATTTTATTCGATTCTCAATACTGCTGGGGTAAATAGTGAAATTGTCTACAGAAATAATACAAATGATTATACCACCACCAGGCGACACTTTTTGAAAAACTTGGGCAAGGAACTAATTGCAGAACACCAGGCACGTCGTCTCAAAAATAATAAGCTTCCCAAAGATCTTCGCTCCCAGCAATCTGGAAATTCAGGAACTAATCAAAATGAAACACCAAAAAGAAGACGATGTGAATTTTGTTCACGCAATTCAGATAGAAAATCACAATATTTTTGCAAAATCTGTAAAAAAACCATTTGCTTGTCACACGCAAATTTTCTTTGCAATGAATGTATTAATAATAATTATGATGATTACGAAGAAGTGTAAGTGGTTCTAACGTTTATTTTGATAATTTTTGATTAGTTTAGAAAGAAAAGTATCAAATATAAGTTTGTAGCTATTTTTGACTGTTAACTGTTAAGAATAAAATAATAATAAATGTATTCTATAAATTTAAGATATTTTATTTCAAGTTTATTGATTATACTGTGTGCATTTCCAACCTAGGCTCTATAAAACTATTGGGGTCTGACATACCCCAACAGACTGAACTTGTCCGTTTGACTGACCAGACTTCCGGAAGGTTAAAGACAATTTGTTAGTGTTAAGTGACTTGTTTGATTTATTATTTACGGTAAATTTTATTATTGTTAATATCTTTGTTATTTGTATACAGAAAAGTTATAATAATTATATTAATAATAATTTATAGGACCCCGTTGGATCTTTTTGTTTAGTTTTATAATTATAAAACGTATATAGAGAGGATATTATAGGCAAAGTAGGATATACCTATATAATTTAATGCTTAAAAAAATATTTTCAAGTAGGTTGCAGGCATGGATAAAAGAAAGAAAGCAGGGGTTGTGTGTGCGGCAATGAATTGCAACAATAAACAATATATCTCCAAAGAAAGTTTCTTCCGATTCCCAAAGGATGTGACAAGGTAATATAATCAATCAACAAAGTTCATTAATAATTTATTAAGATTGACCAAAATGGCAAATAATTAATAGAATATAACAAACAAAAAATTTCATTCTACAGCTACTGCTTGGGCCATTGCATGTGGAAGAGAAGATTTACTTCAAAATTTTGAAGCATTACATATTGGTTATAGGTTGTGTGGTGCACATTTCGAAAGTAAGATGTTTCTTAATGATATTAGAAACAGGTTGCAAACAAGTGCAATACCAACCATATTCTCTTCACTGGAGAGTTCGTCGGTGATGTCTGAACATAATTATTCTTTGTTTACATTTAAAAATCGTCCTATGCCTATCCTCAAAGCTTGCCATGCGAAAGGTAATTTTAAATATTTAATTATTTATTGCTTTCTGCTTCCATAAGTGACTGTGTGTGGAGTGTTTATTAAGGCTCATACAATACAATTTCTTATTTACAGTTACCACTAATGATTTAAACACAGAAAACGAAATGTGTACAGATATTACACAGCCAATTATTATTAATAGAACCCCTTCAAACAGTAATCTCTTGACTCTTGATAATCAAGATTCTATTTCAATGGAAGAAAATGATTACCAGCTTAATTCCGGTAAATATAAACATATAAAAAAAATAAATGTAATTTTATATTTTGTTTTTTTAGATACCAGTTATTATAGTAGCAGCTCTATTTATTCCACTCCTGTAGAAATTGAAATACCGGAATTAGATGATGAATCGGTAGATGAAGCGTTAATTTCGCCAAAGCAACGCAATCAAATATATAATTTAAAACAAGAAAATAGGAAGCTTCAAAAACAATTAAATTCATTTAAAGAAAACGTTGCTGAAAACATCAATTTAGAACAGTACTTAAGCTGTACTTCAAAATTTTGTAAATCGAAAGAACTTTCAAACTTTATTAATGTACAAGTCATCCAATCACAAGAGAAGTCCCAGGGAAGAAGATATTCGTTGCAATTTAAAAAACAGGCACTTTCGCTATACTTCGCAAATCCGAAAGTTTATAAGTTTAATTTGCGAAAGAAATTGTGCTTACCGTCTGGGGTAACATTGTTAAAACTTGTTCAACATGTGAAATTAAACCCAGGATTTAACAACGAAGAATTTTTTAAAGTCTTACAAGAAAAAGTGAAGAATTTTAAAGCTGACAATAGGCTTTGTGTTTTATGTGTGGACGAAATGGCCATCAAACCAAATTTATTCTACGCGATAGGCAAAGATAAAATAATTGGATTGGAAGAAGATGGACGATCCGAAGAAAGCGCGTTTAAACCCACACTAAGTGCATTGGCATTTATGATAAGAGGAATTAATTCTAAATGGAGCCAACCAATTTCCTATCATTTTTTCACAATAGGTTGTCCAGGACAATTATTAAAAGAATTAATTGTTGATGCAATAAAAAAATTATAATTGATCAACATTAAAGTTTGCGTAGTAGTGAGTGATATGGGCTCGAACAATTTACAAGCTGCTCGCTTTGGGAGTTTGCATAGAAAAACCTTTTTTTTTTGTTGACACAGACAAGATAATTTATATGTTTGATACCCCACACTTATTAAAGGCGACCAGAAACAATCTGATTAAATATAAATTTATATACGATTCGAATGAAGTTTTGTGGGAACATATTGTTGCTTTTTATAATCATGATAAAGGATACTCAACCAGGGCTGCACCTAAATTAACGCAATCACACATCTTCCCAAATAACTTTGAGAAGATGAAAGTGAAGTTTGCCTCACAGGTGTTTAGGGCAACAGTTGCCGCCGGCCTTAATTTGTATATCAGATTTGGGCTTTTACCAACAAAGGCAGTTGCCACATCAGAATTTGTAACAAGAATGGACAAGTTATTTGATATTTTAAATTCGTCCGCAACACAAATGAGTAAGGAATACAACAGATGTTACAAAGGTTTGGATTACCAAACAGACTTTTTAAAAGATTGCGACAATTTCTTCAAAAAGATCAGAATGTTTGATTCTATTGGTGATAGGACAGACAAAATAAAATTTGTTAATTGTTTTAGAATTACAATTAATGGGTTATTGCATTTATGGGAATTGCTAAAATCAAATTCAAATTTGGAATACTTATCTACTAGGAGGGTAAACCAGGACGCACTGGAAAATTTTTTTGGGTCGGTACGCCAACAAAATGGCAACTGTACCAACCCTACAAGTATACAATTTCAGCGATCCTTCAACAAACTTATTTGCGTAAAATTATTAAATTCCGGCGCAGAAGATTGTGAAGGAGACTACGATGAAAACTGACAACATTACGGTCAAAGACTATCAGACAAGCGATATTTTAGCCAAAAACTTTGTCAAATATATAGGCGGCTATCTTATAAAAAAATGTTTACTTGTTCAATATGCATAGAGTATGCAAATAGTAATAAAGATCTCGACGACGACTCTATGTTTTGTTATTTTAAGGCATATGAAACAAAAGAGATGAAAACCTTCGGGAATTTGCAAATGCCCCATAATAATTTTATCTATTATATTGCATCATTAGACGCATTATTCAAAAATAAGTTTGTAAGCTTTGCAGTTCAACCTAATATTTTATTAAATTTTGTTAAAGTATTCAATGAAAATTGTACATATAAACATCCCTGCCAATATTTTCCATATTATTACTTTATTAAGTTGTACACTAGAGTAAAAGTATTTTATACTTTAAAATATATAAATAGAAATTTTAAAAATTGTAATGTCAATAAAAAAATTATTGTCTGGCAACAGCAATAATTAAATGTTTATTATAATTATGTTTATATTTGTGTAGAAAGTTTATTTATAATAAACTTTCTACACAAATTATCTCCTTTTTTAAATATATTTTTTTGATTTTCCTAATAAACAGCTTCTAATAACCACTCTTTGTTTACTTTTTTTTTATTTTTTCAAATTATTATTACATCAAATATTCTTGATTTTTACTATGACGAACTTTCAGTAAATTATGTGTTAGTGCGGCCCTGTCTCCAACATTCTATACCGAGACGACGACTTCAAGGACACGTTGGGTGAACTAAAAAAAATCTAAGATGCCGACCGAGAGTTTGTATTCTGTATATTCTGTGCCTTTAGTACATTTTTATCACGAATCTACGAATCAGCCCTTTATTTAAAGTTGTTGTCTGGCTTCTTGCCTGCGCACACAGTATGTGACGATAAATCTAGTGAGAGCAGTTATTCTATATAGGACTTTCGTTTGACACACTACGGTTGAATCACCCCTTTTACGAATATTTATTGATAAAAATTAATTAAATTTGATAATCAGATCAATTATCTCCGAAAGCAAAACATTTTTATAAGAAATCAACATACCTTCAAAAGAAAGCCGTTCTTTATAAAAAACGAACTAATTCCCTAAAGAAGAGATTAACATTAGCGAGGACACAGTGGCAACTGAAGAATTGCGGCTTGCGGAATGAAGCTATCAACTTCTGTTAATCGCAATTAAAGTCTAATGTGGTAAAATCTAGAGGACGGCGATACTCTGACGACGAGAAATTAATGTGCCTCGAGTTATATAAACATGAGTTATATAAACAAAAGAAAGATTATATGTTTTAACGTTCGATGAAGTAGCATTAAATCCACATTTGGAATACAACAAATACTGCGATCAAATTTATGGTTTGGAGAATGACATCATAGTTGATCATGCGTTGGTTTTTATGATACGAGGAGTAGCCCAAAAATGGAAACAAACTGTTTCATGCCACTTTTGTAAGGGCCCTACAACAAGTCCACTATTAAAAGTACTTATAAAAAAATTATTGTTGAATTGGAAAAGGCCAACTTAACTGTTGTATATAACTGTGTGCGATCAAGCATCCACAAACAGAACAGTAATAGAAGGTAATAATTATTACATTTTATATAATTATTTATCTCAATCACGCATTCTCTTTTAATTATTAAGTCTCATCCAGGAGAGCCGAAAAAGATGCATTGAAAATAATGTGCCACCGAAAAGTAGTATTATTGTTAACAATTCCGAAATTGTGCCTCTTTATGATACTCCCCATCTTCTCAAAGGTATAAGAAATAATTTTTTAAAGAGAAATATTTGTTGGGAGATAGATGGGTGAATTATAGTCGCAAAATAGGATGATATTGTTAAGGCGTATGAAATAGATTGTGGTAATGGGAAATTTCGTCTATTGCCAAAAATCAATCACCACCACATTAAAATAAATAAAATGAAGGTGTCTTGTGCAGCCCAAATATTTAGCCACACCACAGCAGCTGCCATTTCATACATGGCAAAATCAAGTAAGTACATGTTTCTTGTAACAAAAAAATGATATAACTTTATAGTTCTTATAATATGTATCTGTTTTTAGATGCCACTGACATAACCGGTACAATGATAATGGCTAAATATACACAAGACACCGCTGTTATTTTAAAATTTTTTGGTCAGCTATTTGACAGCTTTAATGGGGGAAGTTGTAGAGCGCCCCCTGGAAAAATACTTACGGGTGTAGTAACAAATTCATCGAGATATCTAGTATTTTGGAGGGATACAAGAGGTAACTATCATGCATTATTATCTATAGCAAAATAATATACATTGGCTGAAAATATGATACATGTATTTTTAATAACCGCAAATGTATTTTAATTTATGTTTATGTTGTTTCAGAAAATCTGGAGAAAATGTATTTCCAAGAGGGCACGCAGGAAAAAATAATACCTCCTAGCTTAAAAGCATTTTATTGTTTTCTCTTTCAGCAACATATTCTGAGTATTCCTTTTTTTTCCCTTTTAACTCCTATCACTTTAAAATTCTCTTTTTGCTTTGGAGAGGGTGTCGTAAATTCATGATGTTATCTTGCGTAGACGTAATTTTTTTGATATTTTCGATTTTTGGGTATAAAAGACCGTTCAAGTTTCTTCTTGGGCTCTCTCTTTCTCACTATATTACCAGAGCAATACGTGTTCTCGAGTGTTAAAGAAATTTTGGTTGGTTTGCCATTTTTGGTTTTGGTGTAAAATTTTGTTTCTAATCCATATTTGTGGGATTCATCACTCGAAATAAAGTTTTGGAAAAGTGTTTTTCTTTTACCAAATTGTACGGAGATTCCGGATTTTAACGTATTTCATTATATTTTCTTCTGTCCTCTGGTTAAACCTCGAACATCAGAGGTAAGCATTTTTGTAAGGTCTTTATTAATTAGTTTTTGGCATATTCGTTCACCTTTTTATATTTTTCTTTTGATTCTTAAACTAACAATCTACTAAATCTATCTTTCAAAAAAAAATCTAACAACTTTTAAAAAAAATTTTTCTAACTACTTTAAAAAAAAAATTTTTTCTACTTTAAAAAAAAAATTTCTAATTACTTAAAAAAAAATTACTAACTACTTAAAAAGAAAAACTATCCTACAAACAAAAATTCTTAAATCTAATATTTCCACGTTTAATTTTTTAATTTCTATATGCAGGTTTTTATTGAGGGGAGCAACTTTTGGCATCTCTTATTGGAACAACTTTTTTTTATTGGTATTTTGGAACCATTGTCCAAGGGTATAATTTCCATTACATCCTAAGGATTCTAATTACTTTTTTTTGGAACAAAACAAAGAACATTACCTTACCTTTCCTGAGTCACCAGAATTTGTTGCTGAGGATTTATTTTCTAATCGGGCCGGTGATCAAGACTTGGAGTAAAGGTCAGATAGAACAACATACAATTATTTTGGTCATTGAAGAATTTGTATCTTATATGTTTTTTTTTATTTTTTTGATTTTCCTTAAGAAAATCTTTAAATTAATTAATCATTGGAACATTAAACCTTTTCTTTTTTTTTATAATATCAAGGAGGGTGAAATTGCCATCGTAGCTCTAATTTTTCGCTGGCATCTTGAGCCATTTGTTGTAATTTATTGTAGGCTCTCACGAAATTGGTTCCTTGGTCCGAAAGAATTAATGAACATCGACCTCTCCGGGAAATGAATCACCGCAACGCAGCTATGAAGGCATCTGTGAAGAGATCTGAAACCAATCCCAAATGAATAGCCTTGGTGGAAGCACAAACAAACACAGAAATATATGATTTCACCGAACGGGCTCCTCGGCACCGACTTGTCGTAGTGTAAATGGGTCCAGCAAAATCCACAGCCACCGTGGAAAACGCCTTTACTGCACCCGAAAACTAGGAAGATCGGCCATCCAGGGAGCATATGACTTAGGCTTGCATCGAAAACAATCAGACTTCTTGATCCGAGGATCCAATATTGATGCATCACAAGAGATTGTAATGTACGTTGACCGGGATGAAGATGTTTTCGGTGTATTTCTTCCACCAGAAGTTCACTTACACGACTATTTTTCGGTAATAACACTGGATGTTTATGATCGAATGGGATCACTGCGTGTTTTAAACGTCCCTCAACCCTAATTAAACCCTCTCTATCAAGGAATGGAGCTAACTTTCGAAAAGTTTTAGGGGGTAGCTGATTCTTTTTTATGGAGGCAAACAACGAAGAAAAATGTTGGTTTTGTACATGACGGAGAATAGTGGTTAATGCCCGTTGGATTTCAAATAAAGATAAGTTTATAGTAACATATCTCTTTTTTTTACTTTGAGTGGTAAATCTTTGGACATATGCCAAAATACGCTGTATTTTGGTCAGAGATGGAAATTTAGTTAAAAGAATGTCTATTACACGTCTATTAATTTCAATAGTTTGAACGAAGTTTGATTGTTGTTAGTAGTATAAGAAGGAGAGTTCTGGAGCAGGATTATCCCATATTTTGCGCTCTGTGATTGGTTGAAATGCCAATATGGCGGTTAAAAATTTAGTAACTTTTAGGGATTTTCATTTTACATGTTGGCAATGAATCTCAATTATGTTGGTACTACTGAGGGTGGAGGNAGTTCCAATTTTATTTGACCAAAATTTAGCAAAAGACGAATAGATAATCGGCAATTGGGTATGTTGCCGGATTTATAACAAAAAAATTACTAAGAAGATTTAAGTGTGAATTTGATATGTTACATATTATAAAAAATGACAATACTGATGATTAACATCAATTTATAAAGGAAAAAATATAATTCCTACAAATCTTTACAATATTGCCTGTCAACATTTGTTGTATGCTTGGAACAATGTTATAACATTACAAAAAATACGTTTTGTAAGGGTATAAACATAAACAAGATATTAAGTGGTAAAGATTCCAGAAAACTTAATAACACCTGCAATTCAATACAAATATCAAAATAGACACTAAGAGTGTAAAATATGATACAAATCGTAAATATTTAGTAAATAATTATTCTATTGGTCTTTAGATCTTCTCTTAAAGAAGATCTGGGTTGTTCCCCAGCTGAATTAGTGTATGGCCAACCTCTCCGCCTGCCAGGCGAATTTTTCGTTACTTCTCAAGACCACTTAGAAGTAGAACCACTACTATCTAGTCTAAAGGAGGCATTTTCAAATTTAAAACCCGTTCCCACTTCTTTTCATTCCAACATTAAACCTTTTATTCACAAAGACGGTCAGAAGAGAAAAAGCGGTCACGTTCCAGCGAACTGAAGCCCCCCATAAGAAATACCGTACATGGGCGTTTACAAAAGTCAAAACGGGCATCTGTAGTCAACTTGCGGCCGATCTCCGCCGGGTGGTTCACAATTGCGCGCGCGTCCCCTGCCGTATACGAACCACAAACCTGCGGTCGTACTCAACCGCATCGCGACCAATTTCATTTTAATACCATTTAAATACCAAGACGTCGCATCGAAAGGACGCTTCCATAAACAACAATGGACGATGCATTTGACACCGATACTTTTATCAGCGAAATCCAAAATCACACTTGCATATGGGAATACAAATGTGAATCGTACAGCAACAAAATTGCGAAAAATAATGCATGGGCTGCCATATGCGAGAAATTTACATCCAATTTTGCAGAAAAATCGGTAAAGGAAAAAAACGATATCGGTAAGCTTTTAATTTTTATTTAGAGGATATATTTTATTACTAAATATTATTTTAAATATTTTTATAGTTACATATAAATATAACTTTTTCAAGGAAACATATAACACAAGAAAATGCTTAACTATTAAGTAGACTACTTTATTTAATTTATATTTAAATTTTACGTAATTGCCATTCTAGTTTTCCCTCATCACTTTTAAAATATTCAGCAAATTGATCCCGAATAGAATTTAAATATCGTCCACCCTGATGAGTTTGGACAGCATTTTCTTCTAAATCTTGCAAAGATTCCGGCACCGTCAAAGTCAAATCGGTAACTATCCCTTTCACGAATGAAATTGTGAAGTATACAACATGCTTTTACAATATCTATGAAATCAACATATACATTCATTGGTCTATGAAAGATCCTCCATTTATTTGCGAGTATTCAAAACCAGCACTCAACCAGCCCTCCTAGCACGGGAAAGACGATAGTTAAAAATACTTTTAGTATTACTAAGGTTGTTTCCTCAGTACGGACGCAATAAATTTTGAGATAGACTAAAAGCTTCATCACCAACAAATAAATATGGCAACAAATTGCCTCCGTCCTGGATTCGTCAGGAAGACGGAATATTAAGTGTATTTTGCTGTAGATTTCTGTAGAAAGCACTTTCTTCGAAAATAGATGAATCGCAGTGTCTACCATAGGAGCCTATATCTACGAAAGTAAATATATAATTCGAGTCACAAATAGCTAGTAAAATAGAAGAAAAATATTTTTTATAATTGATGTATAAAGAACCGGTATCTGTTGGCTTAATAATTCTAATGTGCTTTCCGTCGATGGCACCAATGCAGTTGGGGAAGTTTGCTCGTGCTTNAACGCTACATGCGCACCATCATGAATTTATTACGTGTGGAAACACGGTTGAGGTCAGAATGGCCGACTGTTATTTGGAAAATACAACTGGTACTAAATACTACTACACAGAAATCTACGAACACTAGTCCCTTACAAGTTCTTATTGGTATTTCCAGTACAACACCACTTATACGGGCCTACGAGCCTTGAATGATTTGTCACATGATTTGACGACTGTTCGAAACCTGGAAGTCGACAGACAACGTGTAAGTGAGCGGCTCCGAGCAAAGAATTCTAATATCACTGAATTGAACAGAAAGCGAAAGGATACTGTTAAGACTTTCATTAATTTTAAATTGCTTAAAGTATAATAAATACAGGTAAGGCTTGAAACAACTCTATCAGCAAAAGATATACAGTAAAACCTCGATATAACGGACTAATACGGGGGAGGGAGTGTCCGTTATAGCCTAAAGTGCGTTACATAAAAATTTGTTCCTGAATACGGTTCTTGGGCTGGTATNAATATATAATTCGAGTCACAAATAGCTAGTAAAATAAAAGAAAAATATTTTTTATAATTGATGTATAAAGAACCGGTATCTGTTGGCTTAATAATTCTAATGTGCTTTCCGTCGATGGCACCAATGCAGTTGGGGAAGTTTGCTCGTGCTTCACATCCCTTTGCAAGGCTTAGCCATTTCCCTTCCGTTGCCTCCGGTAAGCACAAGTCTTTTAAATGTATCCAAATTTGTTGTATCCACATCTGTACGAATACTCCATATCCACAAATGTACATCCAGTTGCCAAATACCTGAAACAAGTTTTTAACTATTTCTATTTTTTTTTGCAGCCACGGTATTACAAAGGAAGTGGAAAACGTTAAGGGATGGCTTTAACAGAGAAGTGAAAATAAATAAATCAATAAAGAGTGGTTCTACTGCATCCACTAAGAGGCAGTATGTTTTTTTTTTCATCCGTTGTCTTTTATACTACCATTAGCAGAAGCCAGGGCCGACACATCAAACAGTTTAACGACTACATCTCCTCAAAATAATGAGGACGAAGAAGATCAACCACCGAAAAGTCATAGGCAAAAACTAAAAAGAAAATCAGTCGTGTCTTTGGAAGATCAACTTATAGAAACATTGTTTAAGTGCATTGAAAAAAAAATAATAGTGGCAATGATAATCTACCACATCCGGACAATTTCAGCGCTGTAATAATAATTATCAAACAGTTCCTCCTAGCAATATTGCTACTCCGCTATTTACGCAGGGTTCAACATTGTCGGTGGACTCTGCACATACAAATTCATCATTTGAAGATGTATTTCAATTGTAGATAGATAGTAGAAACAGAAAATCAATAAAATATGTACCTACCTACGTTGTTTTATTATATCTGTAAAAATAATGAATTCCGGGCGTGACCTATTGATCACATAATTGAATTTATCTACTTACTAACCTCAAAGTTACTAGCAAGCCTCTCTTCAGCTGGAATACTTGTCCTCATATTGGTGTCAGGGCGTTCAATTTTCGATTTCAAAATTCTGATTAATTCATCAAATGAACTAATTGACATTCTAAAGTAATTAAAAAATTTCTTTTCGTCTTGCCGTAGTTTACCAAATAAATTATAAAACCTTCGTTCCTGTCGTCGTGAAAGTAGAAGTGGATGTATCCAAAGCGATCGTACCTTGCTCCGTCTTCTTCTTCTTGTCCTCAAAATAAGTAGTATTACTACTCTTACTACTCTTCAAAATCCATTGAGACTGGCGACTACAATCTCAACCACACCATAAATAAAGTAGGACAAAACAACTTTTCTGTTT